TATTATAGTTGTGACACACATTGATGTCAGTGCTCATGTCTTTCTTATTCCCCATAAGCCATACGCTCTTCCCTTCATTACTAGTCCCTTTTCCTACTGACATGAACATGTGTGTCTGTAGATGTAGTCACTCACATGTGAAATACAAAACAGCTGGGCTAAGACAGATAGCCAAATGCGGACAATCCCCAGAGACTGAAGGTGACACATTGGAGAACAGCACCTCCACATACTTTCCTGCTTTCTCTTTGACACAAATTCCTACGCACACACACACAAATTTCGAGGGCTGCAGCCGACAGCAGAGTGAGCTGTTGACAGTCTTGCAGGCTAACAGCAGAGAAGAGACTCTAATCCCTGTCAAAGGGTAGAAAACCACTCAAAGCAAAACAATTAAAATGCTAATTTCATTTCCTCCTCTCTGCTTGGCTGTTAATGATTTAGCCAAGCATGCAGGCTCAGGATCGGCAGTGTGCAAGTATTTATTCGTCCACGGGTAACAACGCCATCTTACGACTCCTGGGTCAAAGGGGAGGCCAGATTAAAAATCCTTGGGGAATTTAAGAGTGTAAAAATATAAACAGGTGTAAAACAATAAATTCATTTCAAAATCTATTTAAAATAACTAAACAACTGATGTTAGGGTCATCAATGTAAGGTCTGTTCTTTGATTTTTGAGTATCAAAATGAAATCGCAAGATGAAAATAACAGTTGTTTTATTTTCTCTTTTCAAAATCCAAATGCCAAAATGTCATATTGAACTAATTAGATTCCATAGTTTTTAATTTCCCTTTGGTGTAATTTGTAGTAATTCCAGTGTTGTTCCAGAAAATGAGTAGTGAAATAGTTGCAGGTTTAAATTTGGTCAATAAAACAAAATGAAGATAGAAAAACATACATTTCTATGTGAAGGACTTTTCCAGAAGTTTGTATCCCTTTAGGTTAAATAACATGGACGTAGCTTTAGGACATCATATTGGAAATAAACTTAAAGTTAGGATAATTAAAAAGGATTATAATAAAAAATGTACAGTAAGTACTGTAATTACCTTCATTTAAGATAATAATAGACTTCTTGCTCTTAGGAGACATTAAGTATTTGGACAGTTGGCTGATCTAGTTTGGCAGTTTGGCAGACTAGCCCTTTGTTTGTGTTGTTATGGAGCTCCACACTACTTTCTCATGAGTTCCAGAGGGTATTAAAGGAAGTGGAGTATAACTTTCAAAAAAGAACTTATCTCTAATGTTTACAATGTTCAGTGCATGATTTTACTATGAAGGCCAGATACTGAGGTGAAAATGGAAAATACGGAGTGGTTGCTCTGATGATGGCAGCAGAAAAATCAGAGAGGGCCTGGATTTCATAGCATTTAATTTGTCGAGTTTAACATTGAGATAGCTTAAGCTGCTGTCACACCTTGACGATTTAGCCAGCGTATGCCTGACGTACATAAAATCTGGAAAAAATGCAGGTATACGTTGTATAAGTTATGGGTCAGTTTTGTATACGTTATGAGCAAGCTGCAGCACGCTGAAACACGCTGGCACACGTCGACATACGGCAAGTACATTGAGAAATTTTGAGCTTGCTTAAATTTTCTTGACGTGTGCCAGCGTATGCTCATACAATGTCCTTAAGTTACAGGTAAGTTATTTGATCGCTGACATATGTTAAGTTTAAGTTACCCATAAGTCGTGGTGTCTAGCTTATCCAAAATGTACAAGTAACTTGCGCATAACTTACGTGAAACTTATCAAGAACTTCTCTCCAAGGCATATTAACGTATCTGATGTGTCCCAGATGACCGCTGAATGTGTTTCTAACTTACAGCTGCTCTATAATGGCGTATTGGCAGCTTTTAGTATAAAAGGGGGTTCACAGGAGGATACCGTCAGTACCCCTCCAGACTTCATCCCCATCATAGGCTGAGAGTGAAGGTAAGTGTGATGGATCCATCACACAAACTTCCTAGCAGAAATAAGGCTGAATCTGCTGCGACAGCAAACCTTTTTTTGTTCTTTTCTTTTTTCTTGTTATTTATTTATTTTTATTTTGGGCGGGTGGTAAATAGCAGCTAGGTTCATACTGCGATCAAATAAATCTTTTATGCCAGCCGGACACCTCTGGGCACATCGTTACCCTCCTCAGGAAACTAGCTTGTGACATTTCATGGGCGTTGCGCTGCCTTTTTTTATGCATAAGTTAGGCTGTCGTTGGATATAAGTTCTGGACTCATTGTGAATACTCTATGTATGCGCCCAAAATAAAAATTAAAAATACATAGAAATTTCAGCGTATGCCAGCTTTTTTGAAGATTCAGGGACGTCAGGCATACACTGGCTAAATCGTCAAGGTGTGAGAGGGGCTTTAGAAACATAACAGCAGCCATTAACAGCCAGTCACAATATTCTCTAAAAAAAAAAAAAAGAAATTCCAGACAGAGAACCTGATAATTCATCACACAATGTGGTGCTTAAAATGTTTATTAAAATATATGGATCTCTTTGACTGATATAGAAATATAGGAAGAACAGACTGATTGCAGGCTCAACAGGCTGATGGAAGTTTAAATTGTCACCAAAGTCAGAAAACAATGAGAACCCAGTGAGGGAAGTGAAAGCAGAATAACGCAGGCAGAGAACCATGCACTAGAATAAAGAACTAGTGGCAGCAGGGTGATCTCAGGTACACAGGATAGGGAGGCAGTGCACAAAAAAACTGGAACTGCACCTCATGCAGGCAGGCAACATGACAATCTGACAGAGAGAAAGAGAGGCAGGTATAAATAGAGAGGATGACAGCTGTAGGAAATAAAGGTGATTAGGAAAGAGACAGGTGTATCTGCTCTCTAATAATCAGAAGTCAAGCAGAAAGTGGCAAGCAGCCATCCAGCCCAAAAACAAAAAAAACAGAGGCAGACTGCATGACAATAAGATAAAAATATGGCTTGTGAGTGGTTCATCATTTTTAATTAAGTATTTTTGAATTGAATTTTAGAGCTGATTAATATTTCAGAGGTTCAGACCATCATTAATAATTGTACCAAAATGTCAAAAGTGATCCACCAACTAAATATTAACCAGGTCTTCATTTTATCCATTAGAATAAGAAAAGAGCAGTGTTTTTATTTTTGGTTTTTATTTTTTTTATTAAAATAATAATAATAAAAAAAATAAAAAATAAAAAAAATGATAAGTGTCTTTGTCCCCACTTTCCTCCTCTAAATAAAACATTTATGATGAAGGAGACTCATCCATGACCTCCGACACAAAACTCTCCTCCTCTTTCAAGTTTCCGCTCTCGATAGTGTTCCTTGATAGTGTTGTTTCTAAGTCACCAATTTAGTACAACTTGCTCCTAATGTAATTTACCATAGGGAACCTATTAGCACTAAGTTGCTAACTGGTTAGCAAGATGTTTCCGAGTCCTTAGCCACGATCAAAGTTGCTGGTGAACCAACCTTCCTGCCCTCTTGATAAACTAGCAATCATATTCAATTTATTCACTCGTGTAAAGCCGTGGACCACATAGGACAATTCAGAAATGCAGCAGTTGGAACAGCTGTTTCCCTACGACTTTAAAATCCTTTAGTTTAATTTTAAATCCAAAACTGGACAGTTAGAATAGAAGAAAAGAATAAAACTTTATTGATCTCACAATGGAGGAAATTACTTTTCACATCGGCTTATAAAAACAGAGAGTGAACAAAGGAGGTAAAGGTGCAGGAAGTATATACAGTGCATCCAGATATATACAGTGCATGGTAAAAAATAAATGATGAGAGGTTTAAGTTGCCTTATATATACAGTATCTTATGTACAGTTAAGTGGTGGCAGGTAACGTGCGGTTTCTGGTTTGTTAATTATTATTGGTTGTTCCAATATTATTGTTCCAGTTGGTTATTCCAATATTATTTGGGTTTTAATGTTTGACCTTAAATAGGTATCAAAATTGATTTTGCATTGTATAAAGAAGAATGACTTAAACTTTTTAAGATTGAGATGTAAATTATTTCTTAATTGTGTAAAATATATTTTAAGGAGGGGGTCAAATCCCAGAAAATGACACTATTAAAAATGGCTCTAGCATCACTTATAAAAAATTTTTCATGGCAGATGTTTCATTGATGAAAGTGATGCAGGCTTTTATGAAGCTTGAGGATAGTGATGTGAAAGATATAGAGGCAAAGGTTCTGAAATGGAGAGGATTTGAGGATCTTTCCTGTTATTCTCCTGTATTATCAATATTATAAAGCCATGACAGCCTTTGTGCCAGTTGCTGTCTTTCTTTGCCTTTTTTATCTGAGAAAAAGCCACAGCTTAATAGGCCCAGACACAGATATTAAATGGTAAATGTAGATAGGTAAGTCTCTGCTGTAGGACATCAAAGCTCTAGAAACGTTTTAAAATATTACCAGTCACATAACCTCTGAGGTAGAAAACATTCCCCCTTCTCATTCTGCTCTTACAATATATGTTTACATTCATAGAAAATCTCTGAATAAATTCTGCCATACATTTTTACTCTGTGCATCTGACATTATGAAGTGTGTTTCTTTCAGTTTATTTGTCTTGCATATCATTGATATACAATCTGTTGGAAAGTCATTCTCTTCTGTCTGCAGGCAAGCATTACAACCGTGCCTTTATATTGAACCCTTGCCTAAATAATGTTGTGGGTCACATACTGTCACTATGATCTGGAAGATGATTAAAGTACTTAAAAATTACTTAATCTAGCCAGAAGCACAATGTTGGTGGTTTCAAATGTTGTGATAATGCTGTCAAGTGTTCTTATAGCCATTTATGTTTGGCTCATTAGTTCGTAACACTAATGTCAATTCACAAGTCCATACCAAACATCCATTGCTGTACACTTAATTTAGATTTGCACATTTTCTAAACTTCATCCTGCCTTTTTTGAATTAAGTTAAGCTACATATAATAATTATCTATTTCCTTCTTTAACCCCCTCACCCTATCCCATCCACCTCAACAGATGGGGAAACTTGACAATGGCAGCCTGACAATAAAGTACCCAGTGTGGCCAAGGTTCAACTCTTTTGGCGATGCCGAGCTGGACGACAACCACCTGTCGATTGTCACCTTGGAAGAAAAACCGTTTGTTATTGTGGAGGATGTGGAAAGGCTCACCGGTACCTGCATGAGGAATTCTGTGCCCTGCAGAAAGCATATCAAAGAGTAAGTCTGATGCTTTTTTCTTTTTAGCACAAAACATTTTATTAGCTAAGGTCTAGTATGTGAAGATTTTAGCTGCTAGAGGTGCCAGGCTTTTGTTCAGGAAGATAATCCTTATAACCAGAACTAGTATGATCCTATGATGTTGTAAAATGGGCGGCCTTCACATGGGGAGAAATAAAGTCAAAGGGAAGGCAAGTGTCTTTCTTCCTGGTTAGAACACCAACTATTATTTTTGTAAGAAATGCATGTTCTCTAATGCCAAAGGTAATATTTTGTCATAATTATAGTTGACTTTGGAAGGCCTAAAAAAATAATAATTTAGAACCTTTTTTCTTCACTGTGCACAATTATCTGCCTTTTCTGTTCATATAATGGCCCAAAAATAAATTAATTTCTTTATTAAATGTGTTAAAGACACAGTATCTTAAATATTTAAGCTTAAATAATCAAGCAGAAAAGAAATTGCAAATAATACATATCTCTTTGTAATAAATAGACATCCAAGGGACTATACTCAGTACAAAATCTTGCAAATAATCCTTTAATTTTCCAAATGTTGAGCTCCAATCGCATTCACTATTTTTATGGGCAGGAGAAGTTATTGATGTTAAGCTTAGAAATTTTTTTTTTAATAAAAATTAATCTAAATAAATATGATCAATATTTAATAAAATATTTAACTAAATTGTCATTAAGTAATTCTTTATTCATCATAAATTTTTTCAGTTTTGTATTATTTGAATTTATTATTTACTTTAATAGGAGGTTATGTAAACTTTAAGGCACAACTGTGTATGTGCATCAATCTTCCAATATCTGTGTGTCTGTTGTTTCATTCTGTTATTTGTTACAAAATTATCAGGTATTATCTTTTGAGCAAACTTTTTGTTGTAACAGACTGTGGCCAAACACTATTGGATTTCCTTGAATCCATTGCCTTGAGTTAGCTTCTAAAAAGGCTGCAGCATATGTTTCTTTGCAACAAACCAGCCTTACTTTCAAAGAAATTCTGATAAGATCCTTAAACCTGAAACAAGAGTTTTTTTCAGATCATCAAAAACTTAAGCATCAAAGGTCTGAAGTTAATGAGGAATCTAAATATTAAGTCTTACGCAGATGGAAACCTGCCATCTGTTCCCAAAAAGTGACAGGATAAGCCAAGATTTAGGGATCAGCCTTAAGCTTTTATGAGATGAAACCAAGTCCAAATTAAATATAGTTTTGGCCGGGGTTTGGCACTTGTCAGACAGAAGAACAAGGGTCAACATTGTAAAAACTATATTAGTATAGGCATCAACCTTTCTAAAGCCCATGAAATGTTTGGGTTTTGCAAAAATATACACAAAAAATATCAAGATTTGTGCCACGACCTTTGGCAATGACAAATGTTTGCAGACAAAGCGAGAGAGTTGATTAAACAAAAAGGGGGGCATATTGAACAAGCTGAAACAGATCGTCAGCCAGAGTCACTGTGAAGTAGGGTGGAGGATAAAGCATCTTGGGGGAGGAACATAATAAACACACATTCCCAAGTTCATAAACAGTTTCTGTTGCCACATGTCCACTCAAGGACTAGTGCATTCAGCCATGTTGCTTTCTCCACAGCATAATTCCCACTCAAGCATCTGTGGAGTACTTTTGGAGAAAAGGGCTAGATGGAAGGAATGGAAGAAGCAGTAAATGGGGAGTGGGATAAGAGCTGTATGGGGGTATGAGGAGAAGTCATGCATGCAGAAACGTAAATTCACTCATCCAGGCTTTCCCTTAGAAGAAAAAAACATACACACAATCATACACATGCCCCCCCAAAGCTCTCTCTAGAGATCTGTGATGCCCAGTGGTGCGTCAGCTTTAAGTTCCCTGGTAACTTCACAAACAGCCTCTTTACTGTATATCCACTGCTATCCACTAAACCTCAATGTTTGTGAAGGCTGTCTTAAAAGTTCAGGCCTACATGCTACTGTATTTTAGGACACCACTGAACAAGTTTTAGTCTCTTAGTTTTTTTTTTAGTTTAGTTTTTTTTTTTAAGTGATAAATTATTTAAATGGCAAAATCTGTCCTCCTTTTTTATTGCAGTGTCTTCATTTTGCTTTCAGATACTGCTATAAAATATAAAACCACTTTTGAATGCTTCCTAATGTTAAACAATCCCTTACTGCATGGATTGTGTTATCTAGTGAACTCATTTCCCACAAATTTAGCATGATATTTTTTATGCAAAATACATCTAACTTATCATAATTATCAAAAGAATTAATCGATCCATATGTTCTCAGGATTATTTAGTCAGATGTAGATCTAAGAAAGCTCATTGTATCGTCACAGACTAAAGCAATGCCTCCTACGCAACAGTTTGGTCACAAAGGAAGTGAATCATTCAAGTTTAACAACAAACTTAAGTTCAGCAAAAATAGGCTCAGTAGCAGTGGCCATAAAGTTATTTGGGCATAAAGTTATTTGTTGGAAGAATAAAAATGAGGCAACATAATAACATAGAGTACAGAGTTCAACACGTCAAAACTGCTTTATTAAAGGAAAGGGAAGCCGCTTAATGTAGAATCAGAGTGATGGAGTATTTTGTATGAAAGCAGATATAAAGTACAATAGCTTTGTAAATGACCTTGTTAATGGCAAAGCCAAACACTCAAAGCACTGAACCAGAAGTCATTTTTATGTTAATAAAAGTAAACCACATATTTTTACTAGCATCGATAACACGGTAACTGGTTTTGGCAAAAAGATGTAGCTTAAAATACAATAAAATACAATCTCTTAACTTTTTATGACAAAAAAACTGCAAACCTTGTAACAGCAAAGTTGTTATAGTCTATCAATTCCTCATTCAAATAAGGAAAAGTAAAGTACCCTCTATGAAACAAATGAAAGGGTAGAGCCCAAGCCGCTGGGGCCAATGAATCTCCTGTGGAAGGTATTTGTTGAATAAATTGTGTCTTTATAATTCATTCATTCCACGGGGCAAAAAAAAAATCCCAAAACAAAAATAAAGCACCTTTAACTATTAAACGTTGAATTTTTCTAGTTTCAATAATTTGGCAATGACAGTGAATTGACTAATACAGTATTACATTTAGACTGAATAGGTCCCATAATTCCTGAAATATAAGATTGGTTAGTATCTTGTTTTGCTATTTCTTTAAAGAGGAATCATACATTTTGTTTTTAATTATTAGACAATTGTACCATTTTGCTTAGATAGTACCCACAAGTTGTCATAATAATCAAAAGCGACATTCAAGTGAGATAAATTTTCAATCAAAGAAGTTTAAGAACAGAAAGCAATAGTAGTTTGATATGTTTTTTATTATTTTTTTATGTAGAGAATGCAGCTAAGGTCATGTAGTCCTACATGCACTTTTGTTGAACAGATCAGAGTGAAACTGCGGAGTCACTGCATGGGGTTTTTTGGGGTTGTTTTTGTTGCTCTCACTCTTTTCAAGTTTGGATGTCAAATCAAAGGACAAGGTTGGTGTCCTCTAATTAGCACACATTTAAAAGTGAAATGAGACTCCCAGATGGCTGAAAGTTGAAGTGTACTCTTTAGCGCAGAAGGGCTTCTATTCTGTTTATAAATGAGAAGTTCCCGAACTGTCCTGCTCTCAGATTTATTCACACAGATGGCAAGATGCTTGCAGATTAAGTGACATCAACATTCTCTTTTTTTAGCAAGTATAGAGGGAAATAACTTAGTTTTTATATCCTCAAACATTTCAGGGGAGGAGGATCTAAGCCTTTTTTTGAAGACAAAGGGCAGGCTGTTGACAAAGTTTCATGAATTAGAGGCACTGCTGTATTTAGCTAACAAAAGAAAAATTGTTGCCTGACTTAGCATTTTGTCTTTGCAAAAGACTATCTAACAATCTCTGCATTTTAGTATTTGTCATATGCACTAAAGAAAAGCAAAACCCAAACCAAGTTATAATGTTGCCCATGTGTCTTTGTGTCCTTGTAGCAACACAACTGAGGCTGGTGGGACATATATCAAAAAGTGTTGCAAAGGTTTCTGCATTGACATTCTGAAGAAGATTGCCAAGTATGTCAAATTCACGTACGACTTGTACCTGGTTACCAATGGCAAGCATGGCAAGAAGATCAACAATGTCTGGAATGGGATGGTGGGAGAGGTAATGGCCTATGCAAAGAAATCATAGAACAAAATATTACTGCCTTAAGAGATCAGATGTCATTTGTTGTTTATTTGTTTTCTTCAATTTTTTTAAATCATATCTCCCTGTTCCTGCCTCTATTGTCACTTCTGAAATAGGTGGTCTATAAGAAAGCCGTCATGGCCGTCGGATCTCTGACGATCAATGAGGAGCGTTCTGAGGTCATCGATTTCTCCGTCCCGTTCGTAGAAACTGGGATCAGCGTTATGGTCTCACGTAGCAATGGAACGGTCTCACCATCAGCTTTTCTCGGTAACAGCTGTCACTGTTGATTTTTTTTTTAAGTGTGCTTGCTTTCATCTAGGGGATTTTGTGTTATTCCTTTCCAATGAAACTGAAGAAGTTAACCAAGGGCAATAAATATCCCTGTTATATCTGCATAGTAATTCATTTGCTGCACTTTCTCAGCAAGTTCCTAAGCACATATTGAGGCAACAAGTCAACAAGCTTTAAAATATAAGTAAACAAAAATTATAACAGCCAGAATGCTGTACACAGAAACATACTCACACTTCAGTTAACATGCTGTCATGTATGTTGCATGCAGTTAGTGCTGTGAAAGTGGCCATTATGGGGGCTTAGCAGGAAAACCCATATATGGCTGCTTGCCAGCAGACATGTACTTCTCTTGCACAACCCCCTCTCAGCAGGCTGCCCTATGCCAAGAGTGCTCCCCCCCATACATAAAGAAGGAGTTTAATCTCTGCAGCAGTGCTGTGAATGCAGTGGGTGGACAGGAGTGCTGACACCAGGGCTTGCTATACTTTTCTGTTCCTCAAATAATCAAATTTGAGTATATGAGGGATATTTTAAGAGGTCTGAATGTGAGGGGCACATCTTGCCAGTTCACTCTGTTAGCTCATCCATGTGCACAAAAATTTAACTAATTCCCTTAGCTTAATAAAAACGTATCAAGAAGAAAATAGATATTTTAATTTACCAATGTTGATATTTATTCCTATGTTCCTAATTGTGTCTTTTTCAGAGCCATTCAGTGCATCAGTGTGGGTTATGATGTTTGTGATGCTCCTACTGGTGACTGCAATGGCTGTCTTCATGTTTGAGTACATCAGTCCTCTTGGCTTTAACAGAAACCTGGCACAAGGAAAAGGTGAGCATGATTTTAAAAAATCCCTATCTGTAAAGCATTTCAATACAGATCTAAAAAAAAATGTTTGGTGCAGATATTAATTCATTTGAGAAGTAGCTCATTTGTATTTATGTCTGCTTTTGACATGTTGATTTGACATTTTTGTACTTTACGAGCCTGCAAAACATTGCCAAGAAAGCTTAACAAGTGATCATTAAACATAGTTAAAATTTAATTTAACAAGTGGTTACATTTGTAGAAATAGAGTTTAAATGTGACATAAGCAAGCCTTGTTGCTTTTGGTGGCGAGACACCGTATGAAAAAATAGTCAGTTTAATAAAAAGAATCTTGTTAAGACCAAGGTATATTAGTTTATCTAACTGAGGAATGCAATGGTTCTTCTAACTTATAGAATGGTATTTAAGGTACACAGATTAGCAATATTTCGTGGGATATTTCTACAAATATTGTAATATTTGTTCTTTTTTTAACAAGAATGCTAAAAATGGTGTTTCATAGTCAGTTTATATTTATTGCCTGAATCAACTAACTGTGTCAGTGCAGTAGGGTTGAGACTCAAGAATTGATTGCTTACTTACATGGAAAAAAGAAAATCAGAATTTTAAACTTAAAGCCCTTACCTGCACATGTGAACTTTCTATTATTATCTTTTTTGCTGACATATGAACAAACTGATAGCAACCAGATTGCACAAATATTAAACTTTGAGACGAAATAGCATATTTTTGTGAGATCACAAGCAATGAGCACTTGATACAACAATGTTTTATTGTATCAAGACATGAAAAGAATAATTTAAGCTAATATGTTGGAAGCACCTACAAAGAAAAATAAACATATGCTTAAGGAAAAAAATTGCTGTCAGTAGGATTTGTATCGAAATTACTAAAGGTTGTTTGACAATTTTACATGCCTGATATACTGAAATGGATACATATTAAATAAATACATAAAAAAATATATATATCTTGAGAACAAAACTTCTAAAAGTGCAAATATTTAATATATATTTAAATGTTAATCACTTCTGGAAATGTAGCTGTTAGATAATGTCTCTCTTTATCTTTACTGTATCCTTTTAGATCCCCATGGTCCATCTTTTACAATGGGCAAGGCCGTTTGGCTGCTGTGGGGTCTGGTCTTTAACAACTCTGTGCCAGTGCAGAATCCCAAAGGAACCACCAGCAAGTTTATTGTGTCGGTATGGGCCTTCTTTGCTGTCATCTTCCTGGCCTCCTACACTGCTAACCTGGCTGCCTTCATGATTCAGGAAGAATTTGTTGACCAAGTTACTGGGCTGTCAGACAACAAGGTAAGGCCAAGCAAAATGATAAGGGACTTTTGTATATGTTCTTTACAATAATTAAGATTGTCAGGAGTAGACTTTGTTGGTGATGGAATAGATGATGTCCCTGGCATATTACTCCCATGTTAAGTTATAAGCACCAACATTGTGAAGTACATGTTAAAATTGTTTCATACAGACAGCCCTCTTAATCTGAATCACTTTTTATCTCTTTATTGTACATCCTAAATGCAGATATGTATATCCTAAGTTTAGATATGCATTTTTTTGCTTTTTAATAGCAAGTCTATATATCAAGCCTCTTATGGCTAAGATTAATAAACTCACAAAGCCTGCTGTTTGCCTTGAATAACAAACTATACTAGACTTTTAATAATATTATGTATTGTTGTACCTAATTCAGTTTAGCATTTGGAAAACTATGATTTAGTTTCATCAGTCAAGCTAAAAATCAGATGAAGATAACACAGATCACAATAAATACGAATATTTCTGTATGTTTACATTCCAAATAAATCCGACTAGGTTAACTTGAGCCGGGACAAATCTGTTAAGAGGGGGTATTGAAAGATGCAAAATAAACCATTCAGAACATGGGCTTTAATGAGAGTCAGTAGATTTTTAGGGGTTTTTCCACACCCCTATTCTCTGGTTACCATCTCTCACTGAAGGCCAGGAAGAGGAACAGGATAACTGTTCAGAGTCCAGGCATCTCATTATGGGAACTGTTTGGTAGGGGAATCAAAACAAATTCTCCCAGGGTTCTTTCAGACAGAGGCCAGGGAAGACATTCATTAGATGTAAGGGTGGATCTGAAGGCTTGTTGCAGTGCTTGAGTCATGGTTGTGCTGTATGCAGGGTGTGCTTGGGCTCCTAAGGGTTCATGGTGTGGGACTGTTACAGTGTGTTGTCTTTGCCAAGGTTGTCCTCCACTACCTCTTTGCCAGGTTTGGGTGTTGGAATGTTTCATGCCTGAATGGGCACCTACTGTAGTGTACTTTGCTTGGTCTGGAGCAGTGGATTTGTCTAGGTATAGGTACTTGACACTTCTCTGGCTGTTTTTTCCCCCTGTATAAAGGGGATTTGTTGCAGTTGGCCATCGTTGCCCCTGACAATCTGCCTGCCTCCATCCTGGAATGAAGGGGAACACGTCCTTAGAACATGAATTGGTTAACCCACTAGGGTACTTGGGAGTAAAGAATGTCTGTGGGCAGTGCCAGGTTCTGTATGGCAGGCATGTCGAAATTCGATTCTCGAGGTCTGCCACTCTGCAGGTTTTAGAGGTTTTGCTGCTTCAGCACAAATTATTTCTATTGATAGCTGATTAAGAGGCTCTTGCTGAACTGGAGTTACAAGAGTTAGTTATGCTGAAGCAGAGAAGCTTCAGCATAACTAAGCTGAAGCTTCACTGCAGGACAGTGCCCCTTGAGGACTGACTTAGGACATAAGCCTTAAGAAACCTACTAGAAGGTAGAGGAGGCAGAGTGAAGCCATTATATGGGGCTGATCACTGCTAATAATTGCCATTTAATGGTTGATCACATCCGAAACCGGTACTACTGGCTGGGGCCTTTATCTACTTTATCCTTTTTTTCTCTGTTTTTACTTCTCTCTCCTCATAGATTTCCCTTTTCCATGATACCAAAGCATTTGCTAATCATGTTTATTGCATATGTATATCAAGTGCATTATAGCAAAAGCCTTAAATTTAAATATAAAAAAAAAAATGAAATAAAATTTAGTGAAATTTCTCATAGGCTGCTTCCTTGTGCTGTCAAAGTCTGCAATGTTGATTTTCAGAGTGGATCTCTTCCACTATCACAGAGAAGATTCAGTGCCTGGGTCAAAATTTTAGGAGAAAGCCAAAGTAGGCTGACCCAAGAGTTACTAAGTGGGGGGTTCACACTTAGATGAGAAAACTAGAATTGCGGCATAATCTCTAATTTATCTCAAAGATTTTCTGGAAGGTTGAGGTTAGGACTCCCTGGCCTGTCAATTTCCCCCACAATGAACTTTTATGCAAATAAATTTTTAATGAACACAAGACTCTTGGAGATATAGTGACTGTAATGTTTGCTTATTTTGTATTTGTTAACATTAGAATTTGTTATTGATAATGGGTATTTTTTTTCTTAAATTCTCTTCAATCTGCTGTTGTTCATATACAATAAAACGTTTTGGAGCTATGCATTTATTTAGTCATTCATTGTTGGATTGGGGTTGATATTTATTGTCAGAAATTCAGTAGGAACATTTTGCCTTTTGTTAAAAAAACATTCATGTGCAGGGTTAGCATTTTTCATTAGCTTTCACAGGAAGATTGTTTTTAAATATTGGCAAGGATGGTTTTTTCCTTGACTTGGTCTCATTTCACTCAAAATCTTGCTTCTGGTATTCTCTGGTCTTTTTTTCAGTCTAGGGTAGGTTGACATGACTAAAACACTTGCATTGGCCTTTTAACTGATCTAGAGCTTTCCAAACATTTATTTTGCACTTGTAACAGAAACAGACAGCATGGACCTTTCTTACCAAGCTTTCAACCACCACATATTCTTAGCAAAAAAGGCAAAACTATGAAAAAAAAACTTCCACCAAATAAATAAATAAATAAATAAACAAAAAAACACTGTAACTCCAATGAAGCACTACCATACTGTATGAGCTACACCGTACAAAAACATCACCTTCTTGTTTTTGGAAAAATGAAAACTAAACTGCCTTTAAAAAAAAACATTAGAACAAAAAAAAACTTTTGTTTTTAAAAAAATAATAAAAACAATTACTTCAATGTATGATAACAATCTAAAAACAAAAGTCAAATCACTGTATTGAGCAAAGCTGCATCATATTATTATATCAACCACTACTTTTTGATAGATTGTTGTTTTTTCCTCAGAAAATGCAACATGCACAATTTAAAAAGATGTTTCCCTTTTGAAATAATTTCATTATAAATAATATATGTGTCTTCAGTTCAAAATTTAAAAGAAATAAAAAAGATGTACTATTGTCTTAGATCAGCATTTTGCACCTTAAGTATTATTGGCCATCTGAAAAAGTAATTGCTTTGCGTGTCTCCTGTAGAATAAGTAGATTTTAGCTATGAGATTTCCAGAAAACTGCCCATATTTCAGTTACCATTAGGTTCAGTAAAAGAAACAACTGACCAATAAAAATGGATAATGTAGAGCATATTTGCCAGAATTCTTTTTAGCTTCTCTCTTTCCTGTTTAAGTCTAACTCCCTGTTGTGGCAGCCTGAAGAAACAGTTAATATGCCTCCACAGAAAATAAACATGTCTTCCGGCTATTGTGGTTCCTGTTACATTATTTTCAAACACCTCACTAATGCTGTAAGAGGGATTCTTTACACAGTGACAACATCCAAGCCCAAGGGGTACTTATTTTTGCTGCAAGTTACTATCCTGTTTTTTGAATTTCTACTATTCTATTAACCCCAAAGTCCAGTACCTAGTTTAGTCCTGGAACTTGTGCACACCAAAGGGAAAGATATACAACCTGTGATTACATATAATTCTCACAACTACATGGGAAAATCCTAAAGGGTACTCAACTTTCAAAATGTACAAAGCTGTAAAGCTGTCTTAATTTCCCGCTCCACATGAAACCAATTTGATGCCAGCTAAATGTTTGTCGGTTGCTTAGGTTTGCTAAGCAATAGGTCAGCCTAAAAAAGCTAAATACTAACTTGTTAAAAGGGGCTTACAATTGGATGCCATAGAAAAGGCAGATATATTTGCTTACAAACAGTTTTTTTTTTGTACCCTTATAAATAACAAAAAGGAGAAGACAAAAGCTTGAAATTTAGATGTGCACATGATGGGTTAGAATACGGTATGCATTATTTATAGTTCTTGTTTACTTATATTAACATAAAGTCAGTTTGATAAACAAGGGAGAAAGTGGGGCATACATATTAGAGTTCAATATTATATTAAAAAGGCAACATTTAAACCAGGTACTGAAAACTGTAAGTTTTCAGTAACTCTGAGTTTTCCATGTATTAGTTTGACTGAATATGTATATCTAATATCTGAAAATAAATGTTTTCTCCTTGTCAAAACGACCGTTTCAAACAAAATTGCATTCTTCACATCTAGAATAAATATGCTGGATGTCTAGAAATTTATTTCAGATTTCCATATTTCCTACAATTTACTGGTCAGCATTTGTATTATTTTGACTTTGAAGAAAAGTGTTTCAATATCATGAATACATATATTAAGTCAAGCTGATAAACGTAAAACAAAACGCCACTTGATATGTCTAAACATGTCTTGGTATATAAAACTTAATTCTTACTAGTACAATTTAGTCTGTTTACTTTCTAAAATTCATTTTTATCTGCAAAAGTGTAATTTAGAAATTTTGTTATTACAGTTCCAACTAGGAGTGTGATTTTGACCAGGAAGAATCCTATTTAAGTGATCTACAAATGGAACAACAGAGAGGAGAGTGATTTTAATAAATGTAAAAGCGGCCTGGTATACCAGACTACATATAAACCTGCACATTAACTCAAGCAACAATCTTCTATTTGGCCATTTTCCTTTTATTTGAAGCTGTAGCACCGTTTCTCTGTCTTTTAAACACCTTGTCCATTTTTTGGTTGTTGTCTCTCGTCATGGTGACTCATTGAATCAGGCTCCACTGATAATGGCTTATCATACTTGTTACACACATGCTCAACTCTAAGTGGAGCTACCCAAAGTTGCTTAAACTAACTAAAAGCAGCTGCTATGAAACTGAAAGTTCCCAACCGTAGGCTACATTTGAGGATTTGAGTTTGATTTTGTTAAACCTGCTTATTTAAATGGACCAGATGTAGAGAAACTGAATTATGTAAACTAAAATTAAACAATAAAAATAAAAAACCCAACAAAAGGACAAAGTTTTTATGATGTTTCAGATGTATTAGTAGTGCTTCAAGGGAGAACATGATGTCACAAGATTCGACAACAAGCTGACAGAGAGAGGGAGAAAGGG